CCCCCCATCAATGGTGTCCCGCTTTAAATCTGGTCACCTTAGTCTAAGGAGTCCTGTAGCCATGGTCAACTCCAGGAACTAACGAGACAGTGTGGGTTTCAAGAGATCAAATGATCCATTCTTTTAAATAGTAATAATAAGGCCCTTTATTTCTATTTCTATCTAAGGAACACATAACAGTATGGTTGTCCAGATTTCGTTATCTTTTAGGAGAAAAATAATTTTTGGTTAACATCCCTAATGGCATTTTTAAAAAACTTAAAGAGTATTAATATGAAACAAACATTTCTTTTCTGACACACATGGGTCTCCTTGGGAAGGCGAATCAACCTTAGTTTACCAGTTAATCTTCTATGAGCCACGTGGCACCAATTATGTGAACTGCAAGTGCTAACACCTGCACACAAGGTGCATTGGCCTGAGAAAGCGCTACTAATGGACTCCAGCTAACGGAGGTGAATTCGGTGACTTAAGGATTTTGTGTTATGGGTTAACTGCAGCCTGGGCCCTCAGAAGGGCACCTCATACAAAGGGGACCCTGTTATTCCCCCCTGCAGTGTGCTCACAGGTTTATGGGCAGACCCTGTGGACCTGGGCTTACGTTCAACAGAAGGATTGCTCTTTTATCCCTTTCCAACAAGGAAAGGGAAGAGAAGCAGGAGACAGTCCAACCGGAAGGTTTTGCAGTATTATTTTCCCTAGGGTCATCTTGGGCATATAGCTTTATGTCTATTCCAAGTTTGCTTAGAAAGCTGCTGCTAGTACCAGGAAGCCTGGCTTTCAGAATTCTATTGTAAACCTGGGTGGGGGGAAAAGTATCACCCAGATGCCATTTGTGGATTATACTGATAATAATCCTTCCTTGTCCTAGAAGATTAAGTCTGCCTGGGGGTAACTGGTCAGCTGACTGGCTTTAAAAATAAATAAATGCTACTTTCTTATTGGAATTCCGCCTGGTGTTTGCCTGAAGTGTTTGCCCATTGGGCGATACTGCAGGACTGGACACTCCTCTGTTGACTGAAGCAGGCTGCTCACCCTTGCCCAGCTTGTTCAGTGTTGCCCAGAGTAACAGCAGGTGGCGGATCCAGCCCCTCCTTGATTACTGGGGATAAGTCATTGATTAAACCGGTCTGCTCCAGGTGCTTGTCCTGCGGGCTTGAAGCTCCCAAAAGGCTGTGTCTCACCTGGGCTGGAAAGCCAGGGTCTCTAAACCCTGGGGCTGATTTCTCTCAAGAGGCTGTGGTGCCCTGCTTGGATCCACAGGAGTATGACCAAAGCGGCAGGTCCCTGAAGAATAACAAACAGCAGGTGGCGGGTCGGGAAGCCATGCGCTCTGCCTTTGTCTGGAATGGATGACAGAGACTTGGACTTGGATGAGGACTACCAGTCTCCATTTGATTTTGATACAGGAGTGAACAAAAGCTATCTCTACTTGTCTCCTAGTGGGAGTTCATCTCTGCCTGGGTCGCCTACACTTCACAAACGTGGTAACTATGGATTCTGTAAAATTAAGTAGTAATAAAATCTCATAGGTGTGTTTGTACGCTAGACACCTTTTTAGTACTTGGATATGCTTAATAAGTGAAAGTGGAAATATTATGTGCTGTGTGTGTGTGCGCGCACACACTCACACACTTGTGCCTGAGTCCGAGTGGCATATCTGTGTGGCTGCTGCTTTGTCTAATGTAATTAACATAGCTGTTACAGATTCAAAGCCGCGAGGTTGATGGGTCATGAAAGATTTAGAACTTAGATGGCCTACTAACCCTTACCTAGCATTCCCCTAACAATTAAAACTTTTGTTCCCTATTGCCCATCATTCAGGATAAAGTAGAAGTGCCTGCTTTTTTGCAGCACCCTTGTCTTCTCCCAGTGCCGCACAGTTTATACCTGGGTGATACCACCCACTTTGGGAAACACAGAACATGCATTCAAAGGGAATTTTGCTGTTTAAAGTTATTACTAGTTACAAGAGTGTTGGGGCTTTACTGATCACATTGAGATCACTGAACTGCTAAGTGACCAAAGAGGAATGTGAAGGCCTTTGGTTCCAGTTGTATATGTAACTCTGGAAGACTCCCCGGATTTTGTCTTTGATAAATGAGACTTAAAACTCTGAAACATGGATTAAATTCAGGGTTCTGTTAATGGGTTTTGATCTGCATATGCAAATACAAAGATTGTCTTAAATGAAAAGCTTAGAGTGCCACCTGTACCTCTGGAAACGGTTGTTCCTTCCTAGCCCAGTATGACGTAATTCTCAGGGCCAGAGGCTCCGTTCAACAAGCGCCGTAGTCTGAGCAGGAGGCCGCACAAAGCTGGACACAGGCTCAGTCTCGACCTCTCAGGCCAGTTCCCTGAAAGCAAGGATGCTTTCCTGAGCAAACGCTAATTTAAAAAATTAATGAATAGATCTCCTTTTTCTCTTCTTGCCCCCAAGTCGATGCTGACTCATCATGCTGGTGCCCCCATGTGTTCAGAGTTAAGTGTACAGAGGAGATCAGAAAAGCCAGGAAGGGTAGGGCGTACGACAGTCATGGAGTCTTGGTTTGTATATTTGCTGACAACAGGGCACGTGTTAAAGCAACCTTCCTTTACCTATCGGTCGGTTGTAGTTGGTGCCATCTTCGGGGTGCAATTAGATTTTCAGGGAGGGAAAAATGAAAAGACGTTTGCTAGAAGTCCGAGCTGGTCTTCAGAGGTTGGGAGCTAGGGGAGCAGTCAGGTTCGTTCCCAAGAACCCTTTCCCGTTGCTCTCCTCTCCTCTCTGAAGAAGGACTTCATGTTTGGTAAAGTGCGTGGGGCAGCCCAAACGAGGAAGGCCCTCCAGGAGGTGAATGGGCATTGTGCTGTACCCATGGGCTCACCCACAGAACAGCTGCGAGGATGGCGAAGGGCTGGGCCGTGCTTAGTTCTGTTGTACGTAGGGCCACTGTGAGGTGTAACCAACTCCAGGGCACCTAGCAGCAGCAGCAGCAACAACAACAAATAACACGTGGCCCTTCTTGAACCTTTGTGATAAAGTGGACGAGCATCTTCTCCTGTACCCAGCCTGTAGAGGGGTGTGATCCATTCCAGTATCTAGATCTTATGGACAGGAAATGCGCCAACAGTAGGGGAAACTTGTTGTCGTTAGGTGCCATCGAGTCAGTTCCAAGCCGTGGAGACCCTATGCACCCCAGGATTCAACACTCCCCTGTTCTCCACCACCCTCCTAATTGTTCCTATGCGTGAGCCCATTGCTGCAGCCACTGTGTCAACCCACATCTGGGCGGCCGCCGCCTTTTTTGGCTGCCCCTCTACCAAGCGTGATGCCCTTCTCCAGGGGCTGGTCTCTCCTGACAACATGTCCAAAGTATGTAAGACGAAGTCTCACCACCCTTGCTTCTAAGGAGCCAGGAACTTGGGCTTGAGCTTGAACTTTGAGCTTGATAATGAAGTGTAAGTAGAAAGGAAGAAAGGCCTGGCAATCTGTTGGGACAAAAACAGCCACTGAAAACCCCGTGGCTCCCAGTCCTCCTTTGAAACACGTGGGCTTCTGTGAGTTGGAATGGAGTCTGGTTTTCAGGTGACCAGAGGCCATGAAAGCCCGGACAGGCAGACTTCCGGGCCTTATTGTTCCCTTTAGTTCCTCTCTGTTCCACGCATTTAGCTGTGCAAACTTTCCTTTTTCTCCATTCCAGCCATTGCCTTTTTCAGATGTTTTCTGTGAAAAACGAAGGTGATGATGGGATTGGGAAAGCCTTAGGTACATTTTGAAGGGTCATCTCCCTGCTACGGGCGATTAGAGTCATAGGATTAAAAATATATATGCACACACATACATATTAGCAGCTAGAGAAAAAAATATTACACCTCCCCCCAATAATTCATGTATCCATTAGAGCTCCAATTTCATAGTTAGTGAAAAAGAGTAGGGGATGAGAACTTTAAATAAATAGAAACTGCCCTGAGGCATTATCTGGTAAGAACACCGTGATTCTAAAACATTCAAATAAAAACGGAGATCTGGGACAGTGATTACCTATCTCAGTACTGGGCACCCCTCAGGGCATAATGAACCTGTAGCTGTGTGAACCCCAAGCCAGGCGTTTAGATGTAATGGATGATGTGTTTGTGCTCTTTGTATTGATACAGAGAGGCTCCTATGAACTGTATATTACAAATACATTGAGCTTGTTCATTCAGCTCTTGTGTCTTTTTAATCTGTGGATAAGAAGCCCTGCTAAAAGAGGTCCAGTTCCGAAAGGTTGGGAAGATTGATCCAAAAATGCATATTCTTTGATGTTTATCCAAAATGCCATCTTGGGGGAAATGACTAAACTGTGGGCAGTGTGTTCCTGAGAAACCATCCGAATGAAAGATAGGAGTGGGCCCAAGGACTGGAACAGAGAGAGGGGTTTAGCAGGAACTTCAAACTCTTTTCAGCAATGATACTTTATATGTCTCTGTTGAGCTCTTTTAAACATGAAAGGAGCCCTGATGGAGTAGTGTTTACTTGTTGGGCTGCTAACCACAAGGTCAGCAGTTCAAAACCACGAGCCACTACGTTGGTGAAAGACGGGGCTTTCTACTCCTGTAGAGTTACAGTCTCTGAAACCAATCAGGGCAGTTCTACCCTGCCCTATAGGGTCATAATGAGTCGGCATTGACTTGATGGTAGTGAGATTGGTTTTTTTTTTAATTTAATTAATCATTTATTGCGGGGCTCTAAAAAATCTTATAATAATCCATCATTCAAATGTATTAAGCAAGCTTGTACATATGTTGCCATCAACCTTTCCAAACATTTTCTTTCTGCTTGAGTCCTGACAGCGAGATATTATGCATGTAAATATGTAGAGTTGAAATAAGAATTTAACCTTACTACCTATGCTTGATGTACTCGGGCATTTCATGGTTTTCTGTTCCCGTCTTCTTTTTAAAGTATTCATCAGTACAACTAAATTAAGGTGACCAGACGTCCCGCTTTGGGCGGGACAGTCCCAATTTTAGGCGTTTTATAAAAGTTCTGATTTTTGGAAAGAATGCATGACAAGAAAGGGAACGGTCTATTTGGTCCATATAGACCAAATTTTTAATCAAGAACCCTCCCCCACCCTGGTCGATGGTGTCCCGCTTTAAATCTGGTCACCTTAAGCTAAATGGATTTCTCAGCCCATCGTTGAGAAACACCAATTTATCTTGAGTTTCAGCATCTGGAGTACGAACTCTGACAGGGTTTTTAAGTTTATCCGTTGCATTCCCTGCTGTTTCTCCCAAGTAGTGCCTGTATCTGTGAAGGCGATGAATGAGGGAAGGAGACTGGGAAGGGCTCGTTCACACCGCTCTCCTGCTCATGTGATAAATATGGGAAGAGTGAGGCTGAGAGGTGATGCCGGTCGCTATTCACCAAGTGTACTTAGCCGGGGACACAGTTCACAGATGTCCAGCCAGAGCTCTTTTAAAAAATCCACAACATCCCAACTCCTCTGGTGATGGGTCTGATGTGGTGGTGGTGGTTGCCCTGCCTTGTCACTAGTGTTGTTCTGGTCACTGTCAGTCCCTCTTGCCTTCCCCTAGCCTTCCTTTTACCCCCTGTCTCTGATGACCTCTTCCAGTGATCGGTCTTTCTTGATGGCCTGTCCAAAGGAACTCAGAGGAAATCTCACCACCCTTGCTTTTAAGGAATATTTTGGATTTTTTACCCTAAGAATGGTTTGTCTGCCCTTTTGGCAGTTCACAGAATCTGCAATATTTGCCAACACGAAATGGACAATACAGGACAAGTCCCTCTACCCTCCCTTTTGCTCAAGAGCTTGAGCCCATGGGTGTGGTTTGTTGATTTCTACTTGCTAGGGACTGGGCATTCCATTCTCTTTTCTGTTTTCCATCAGCACCTGTGGAGCTCACCTGTGGAGCTCACCTGTGGAGCTCACCTGTGCTCGCCTTGCTGCATTTTCTCAACCTGAGAAATTCCCTGAGTAATTCCCCCAGTGTTACTTACATAGAATCACGAGCCCTCTGAAGAGTTGTCTAATTTACAGGCAAAGTGCAGTCCTGCCTTTGTTATGTCTAGCAATTTCAGGAACTAGGAATCATTTGATAACTCTGACAATTAGTTTAATGCTGTCATACCTAGAACTCCAAAAGGTCTGAGAAATCAAACCAAAATTCCTTAGTGTATAGAGTTTTCCCCCCGACTTTTGTTTTACCCTTTTTGATTTCTGTGCTATCCTCCTACCCCCCACCCCCACCCCACATTTTTTCCCCCTGTCAGGGCTGAGCCGATTATTGAAAGTTTTCCATGACTGTTAGAGATTTTAACTAGCAAGCATCTCTATGGTGGATAAAATATAAATCAGGACAAAATGAAAAACTGTAAAATCTCCTGATAGAGAGGCCAGCTGAGGAAGGAAGTGACTTCCTCTCTGTTGTTGTTGTGAAGTGCTATTCTGACTCACAGTGACCCTGTGCACAACACCCTGACCTGCGCCATGCTCATGAT